ATTTCCACTGATACGGCAACAATAGAGTTCATACAAATAATAAACGAAAAACTAGAGAGAAAATAATCCATTATTGGACTTTTCTTCGACCTGTCACGTGCATTCGACACGCTAAACTTTCATTTCATCGTAACAAAAATAAATGCACTTGGGATTCGTGGAAGCATATCACAATGGATCCGTTCATTTCCAGAAAATCGTAAGCTAATAGTGAAAATTAGTAAAAAAACTTCCAATGATCACTTAATCGACACTGGTATTCCCCAGGGGAGCGTTCTCGGCCTCTTAATTTTCTTATTGTTCATCAATGACCTTCCTGATTACATAAATGATGGAGAGGTCTATATGTTCGCTGACGATACATCTATAATAGTATCCAAATGAGCTACTCAGAAAAACAAATAACGTTTTTCTTCAATTTGAAAATTGGTGTAAAAAGAACCGATTGATCATGAATTAACCCAAAACAATTGCAGTTCAATTCCAGAGATCCAAAACAGGAAAACTTTCCACAGAACAACTAAACATTAATAATCAGACAATAATATTTCAAGATAGTTGCAAATTTCTAGGTACAATTCTTGATAGCAATCTCAGATGGGAGAAGTGTATCACTATGATCTGCTCCAAATTGAATAAACACTAATTCTCAATGAAAAATCTGCCTTGCCTTGCTGCGGAGGGTATAATTTCTGTGTATTATGCATGAGTTTACTCGCTATAAGTTATATCATTGTAGTTCATGGTTTGGCCATCGATAGTACCAGAGTCTGTTTGGCACAAAAAAGGATAATTCGCCTGATGTTCCATTTGGATCATCGAGAATCCTGCAGAAATATCTTCAAAGAGAAAAAACTTCTAACTTTCACGAGTATTTATTTATACACTCTTCTGATTCACACCTACATTCACAAAAACAGTCTCATGCAAAATTCAAAATTTCACAACTACCAAACTCGCAAAAAAACGAATCAAGACTAGAACTAGTCACACACAACAATTACAAAAAATCCCCAAAATATGCAGGCGCAAATTTTCTACAATTTATTAACCCATGAATTGAAAAACCAGTTCAGAACCTGTTCAGATTCAAGTTTAAACTGACATCTTTTCTGCTCCTGAATGCATTATATTATATAAAGTAATTCACGATGTGTGGTGTCAAGAGTCCTATTGACGATTTTAATTCTATGGATAGCTTTATACAAGTATTCTTATATTTTACAGACATTAATGATTTTTATATTTCATTTCAGCAATGAACAAAATGTAACTATAATATTTTGACTTGTCAATCCAATGTTTAATTGGTGTCTGATCAATAAACTTCTATCTATCTATCTATCTATCTATGTATCTATCTATCTTTAGATGTTAGAGGAGTTTGGTAGACAATCCATTCAATATACCCCAATAAAAAAAATCCATTTTGGTCAGGTCAGGTGATCTGGATGGCCACGTCGCCCACCCCTACCTATCCATTTTTGATTAAAATAACCGTTGAGGTATTTCCGTACCTTAGTTTTGAAATGTGGTGGTGCATCTTCTCGTTGTAGCTACATTTTATGTCTTGTGTCATATGGAATCCCGTCCAATAAAATAGGTTTTTCTGGAATAAATTGGCAATGCCGCAACAGAAATTCCTTAGAGAGCTAAAAAAATATGGAATCGAATGACGTATTCATATACTGGGTGTTCTTTTCAAAAAAATATAACTTTGGTTGGCCACACTCGGCTGAATTACCCAGTATGCGAGAAAATAATTTTGGAAGATAGTGTTTATAGATATGACTAGAAAAAAAATTGAGCAGTTCAAAAATTGTTTCCTCTGCTAGCAATGGACCGAGGAAATCTTGTTAACTCACCCTGTACATACACAGTAAAAATAAAAATCTCAAAATGAAGAACATTATCTCTATTTAAAGAAATCTTGCTCTCCTATATTCATGAAGGAATATTTTTTTAAACTGAGAAACATATTCTCTCAAGTTGAATTTGAATCATTATTTCAAATGGACTGAATAAACGCTTCTTTTAAGTAAAAAAAAATATATACCACCAAGATTGTGCCTACATTTAAATAGAAATAATCACATGAGCTCAAGAGGAGTAAGTATGCATTCTTTAGTGCGAGCAAAATTAATCTCGAAGCAAAACTGTTTTGGGTTTTGAAAGAATGATATGTTTACTTAGTACATTATTTAAATGTCTCCGTATGAGAAATTAATTGTTTTCCTTTGAATAGAAGCATTTTTCATTGAAAGGCTTCTATTTGTATAAATCAAATAAATTCATTTACTTCATCAAAGATGAAATTATGCTTCTGTTTATAAACTGTCCCTCTCATTTGAATGTATTCAGTTACTATCTCATCTGTAATATGAACAGCTATAAGTGGTAAGGAAAGAAACTAAATAATACATTACATATTATGATTGGTTTATTTGAAGCAATTGCAAATCATAAATAGTATCCTGAAAAAGCATGTGATAAAAAAACGAAACGTAATAGAGAACTTAATTTTCTTTGCTATTCTTTGCTTAAATATCATATTCCAACCGCATACTTTTGAGAGATCATACAGTTATACAAACAACATAAAAAAATATTCAATATGAAAACATATAAATCTGTTTTAAAAAATCTGTTTTTCCGTTAATCAGCTGCCGCCCCCATACGAACGACAACTCTCAGAAGTTGAGAAATTTGTGCGAGCTAAGGACTAACGAGGCCTTACCTTTTAACGTGTGATTCCTAACACGGTGGACATATTCTTGATAAACTGCAAATTAACAAATAAAATGGAATCGAAGCCTATAAACAACATTACAAATCAGAAGAAAATGAATTAATTTATTAGTAATTTTACACAAATGAAGTTTTTGAAACTAGATGCCATTCTGGTGAATAACATTAAAAAAATCACTAACGTCGATCAAGCTCTGCATTCTGCTTTTGTTTAGCCACAATTGTCGGAACATCACTTGGATTCTGAAACGAAAGAAGAAATCACCACATCAGCCTTAGCCACTATTTCAAATATATAGAAAAGTAAAAATATGAAAACAGCAGCTACTTGATGAAAAAAAATATATTTTTTTTCAATGAAACACTGTTTAAGTGGGTTTATTCCGACAACCAACCCAATTGTTGTTCGCTTGCGAATGACAACCCTCAAAATTTTAAACTTGTCCGAGGTCTTATTATTTAACAAACGATTCCTAGCAAGTTAAAAGGTTCGTAAACATTATTCGATCAGAAATAAATAATCAATTCAAAAGGCGTACCTCAAATCTCTTTGAAGTGGACAGAAGTCTATACAGAAAAAATGCCTTTCAAAATAATAATTTTGGAACCGTTATAGGAATTCAAAATGTCGGGTGAGTTTTATTAGAGGATTAATGAAAAATATGAAATGTTTCATTGAAAAAATGTAACTCGTGATCATACAAACATACTTAAAGGAATATGATTCGCTATTTAAATAACAGCAATCATTGTTTTCACGTTTTTGGAAATTCATATTTCATCTCTAGTGAGTTTGGTAATATTTCTACCCATTTCTTACATTCCCAAAGGAAATCTATCAAATAATTTCAAACTGTTCCCAGTGAATAACATGAAAACATTTCTGAAGTGATTACAGAAAGCAAAGACGTTTCGGGATTCAACAAACATTTACATGTTGAAATCAGAAAGTGGCTGTTACATATAGAAGGTTTTTATACCTACTGGTGCCTATTTTGGTATTTTTTGTATTATAATTTATTGTCGAAACTATAACTACCTCTTTCAATAAAAAATGAATTCGGTCTAAGAGAAAATCAAATTTTATTCAGAGAAAATGCTCTTATTTGAAACAAGATAGAATGTATGTTCAAAACAAGAGATTGTCAAATTTGAATCGACGTGGAGGATTTTTCAGCAAATGCTCGGCAAATATAATAATGCATGTGTGAAAAATTACGGAGCATTAGTATAATTTTCGCAAAATGATGGCAAAATTAAGAGTTGCCGTCAAAGTTCACCACTTTCTCTTCGATAGCACGTATACAACGCGGTACTTACTGATATAGCGGAGTTCAATCCAATTATAATACTTACCCATGAAAATATCTTTCAACTGTGCAAGACCCTAGTCTTGTAAAATCTGTTCCATTATGGTAGATACAAAATAATCGGAAAGAAATTGCACTGCCTACAGACACATAAAACACTTCCTCCTCAAAATCGCTACACACCAACATCACTTTCCAACACATACTGGCGCGTACGCGATGCTTACAACGGAATTCCCCGCTCCCCTCCCACTTAAGAGAGTCATAGAAAGACCAGAAACGCCAGGGTTAAAAGAAACCCTGTTCATTCTATACAAAATTCCTGTTATTTTCAGTCGATCATAATATATCTGAACACTATGTGTTCAGATCAAGTTGATATTGCTCTCCATTTGAAACAGTTTATTTTTCCCTTCAAATAGGTGGTGGATTTTGAGATGATATTATATTTTCTTGATTCAACATAGTTCATCTTCGCAATGATATAATCAAACAAATGATGTCGTTGAAAGGCCAAGAAATTTGATTTCTTTGTTGAAAAAAGTGTGATTTTCTAGTGGAACATGGCGATGTTGACATAAAGTAATAGTTTTTCCAATGGAGATAAAAATTTCAAAGCAACCTATGATCTTCTTCTGAAGAAATATTTTTTACTGTGACAGACTTCTCCAAAATAACAATGTCAACGTGTCAAAATTGTGAGATTCTCAAAAATATAATGACTGTAATGGCATTAACAGCTGAAATGAAAGTCATTTATCAGAAGTGTCATTTTAGGAAATCGATTGTATCAAACTAACAATTGTCCAAAAGCGAAGCACACTGTACAAACTAACGCATGCATGTTTTATCTTTCTCCACCACGTCGCCAAAGCCCAAAAGAGATCGTTACTGACCTCCACTCTCCGGCCCGCTTGGCCCTGTGCCCTCTCTCTGTTCCAGGTGTGGTGCTCTTCTCCAGCATAGTGTACTTCGCGGAGGCCGGCGCCGAGCAGTCCTTCTTCAAGTCCATCCCGGACGCGTTTTGGTGGGCCGTGGTGACGATGACAACCGTCGGCTACGGCGATATGAGGTACAGTGTCACTTTGAGTCGCTCTACTCACCCGTCCTCCTCCTTGCAGGTGTCGTGCTCTTCTCTAGTGCCGTCTACTTCGCCGAGGCGGGGTCCGAGAACTCCTTCTTCAAGTCTATCCCAGACGCGTTCTGGTGGGCAGTGGTCACCATGACGACTGTGGGCTACGGCGACATGACGTATGATGTACAAACCTAACTCAAATTTAGTTGCCTCCACCGTAGCTATACATCGCGACACTATGACCACCGGGTCAGGCCGGGAAGCACGTGGCAAACGGGGTTTGGGAGCTGGAGTCTTGGGACCGCGACTGTCTCTCATGAAGAATTTGGCCTAGATCACGTGATTACAGCATCGGAGGATCGCGAGATTATTTACTGAAAATAACCATCGGAGGAATTATTAACTGTGAAATTTTCAGTTGAATAGACCAAATTTTCAATCAGAAAAAGCAGTGAATACAAAGCAGCAGGGCCACATATTTTTATTATTTGTTTCTTGGAAATTACGACTTCAAAACTCTACATTTCGGCTCTGAGCTCAAAATTACGACGTTTCGAAATTAAATTCCTGAAATTTCGGGTTTAAAGTCAGAATTTCGACTTCAGAGTCGAAATTTTCAGTTTTTTGATAAAAATTTCGAGATTATATTCGAAATTTTGGGTTCAATGTCAAAATTTTTTGAGTTTTTGAGTAGGAATTGCGAAATTGAAATCAAAATTTTGAGTTCGAAGTGGAAATTTTGAGTTTTTATACCGAAATTTCGATAGTGAAGTTGAAATTTTGAGTTGAAAGTCGAAATTTTGAATTTTTGAGTAGAAATTCCGAGATTATAGTCGAAAGTTCGAGTTCAAAGTCAAAATTCTAAGTTTTTAAGTGAAAATTTTTAAAACTTTAGTCAAAATTTTGAGTTTTTGAGTAAAAATTTTGAAATTTGAGTCAAAATTTTGGTTCAAAGTTGGAATTTTGAGTTTTTGAGTACAAGTTTTGAGATTATAGTGAAAATTTTGAGACTATAGTCAAAATTTCGAGTTTTTGAGTAGAAATTTTGAAATTAAAGTAAAAATTTTGGGTCAAAGTTGGAATTTTGACTTTTTGAGTAGAAATTTTGATATTATAGTGAAAATTTTGAGGCCGAAATTTTGAGTTTCTATGTCAAAATATCCATATTGAAGTCGAAATTTTTGAGTACAATGTTGAAATTTTCAGTTTCATGTCGAAATTTTGAGATTGACGTCGAAAGTTTCAGTCTAAAATCGAAATTTTGAGTTTTTAAGTCAACATTTCCAAATAGACGTCAAAATTTCAAGTTCAAAATCGATATTTTGAGTTTTTAAGTCGAAATTCCAAGATTGAAATCGATATTTTGAGTTCAAAGTCGAAATTTTGAGTTATGCCAAAATTTCGATATTGAAGTCGAAATTTTTGAGTTCAAAGTGGAAAATTTTAGTTTCTTGCCGAAATTTTGAGATTGATGTCGAAATTTTGAGTTCAAAGTCGAAATTCTCAGTTTCATGCCTATATTTCGAGATTGATGTCGAAAGTTTCAGGTCGAAGTCGAAATTTTGAGTTTTTAAGTCAAAAATTCAAAATTGAAGTCAAAATTTCCAGTTCAAAATCGATATTTTGAGTTTTTAAGTCGGAATTACAAGATTGAAATCGAAATTTCGAGTTCAAAGTCGAAATTTTGAGTTTTCAAGGCGAAATTTCAAGACTGAAGTAGAAATTTTGAGTACGAAGTCGAAATTCTGATTTTCAAAATCGAAATTTCAAGACTGAAGTCGAAAATTTTGGGTTTGAAGTTGAAATTTTGGGTACAAAGTGAAAATTTCAAGTTTGAAAGTCCAAGTTTCCTAGAAACAAATGATATGATTTTGTGATCCTTGTGAGGGCTTAGTCTTGTATTATCATCTGAATCATTGTTGATGAGGTTATGAGACACTTGTTTCCTCCCAAAACTTCGAAGCACACCATTGAAGATGATGATGTTTCATATACGTGACATTTTATATCGATTCACTTTCATATATCACATTGTGAAGTATCTGAAAGAAATTTTTGTGTTTGTTCTACATATCTTCATTGTATTTGTAGTTATTGCCTCTCTTCCTTTCTTCACAAGTTTCATACATTTTTTAGTATCCAGTCCCATCTCAAAATATTTCCTTTTGAATGTATTCATAACATTACATATAACACATTTGACTCCCATTCTCTGTTACAAAAGGTCTACTAGAAATTTCAGCCCATTTCATTGATATCAGATTATTTACAATCTTATATGGTGACATAATCTAATCTAACCTAACCTCATTCTTTCCACTGTGAAGTCATTAATGATATTATTTGTTCTGTTGTCTACTCATTCAGAAAAGTCATGTTATCATTATTGTTATTATCATCCGACCGAGAAACGCAAAACGTGATTACTAATCATCACTACGTTACTAATCGCTAAATATGATTCTTCGATGCTGTGATTCCGTGATCCTAAATGTATTCATGTGAAACAGAAGTGATACCTAGACACTTCTGTTTTGAGAAGGTTGCTTGATTGAATCGAAAGTCTGCTGGTTTTGGCACTGAAAGAAATAGATATCCTGTTCAATATTTCCCAAAGCACTTCCATGAAGTACGCGTAACTTTCAACACAGTATTTTTTATTCATATCATGACTTCAAAACAGAATATCATCAATTAGGTATTGTCTGAATATCATTTGGAAAAGCAGACAAGTTATTTTTGTGTTTTCACTCCCCTGAAATTAAAATATCGATATTATTCAAACGAAAAAGCATATTACAAAAACCTAACCTCACTTTTGGATTTTTTTCGATTTAAATTTGACATGACTACTATTTTCTGTGTTATACTTCTATAATGTGGTGTTATCTTCCATATTGATCCAAGCTAACATTGATACCAGGTTGTATAGAAAGAATAAAGATTCGTGAAGATATTTATCATCAATGTCACTATGTTTGTGAATCGGTTGTAGTTGATTCATTTATCTTCAGTAAAAAGTGAAGTAAGGGCGAGATTGAACAGAATAAGTGTCAAGTTTTTATTTTTTAGAGATCTTGCTTTTCAGCTCCAGACAAAGAAAATAAACCAAACAGAGTTTCGAAATAATCAAGTGACCAACTCAACCCAAGTCCTCTTAAATCAGCGGAAAAGTCGGTTGTGATGCATTTTGGTCTGATTATTGAAACCGAACGGTATTTGGAAAAATTAGTACATGAAAAGTATCACTAGAAAAGTTGTCAAGAAATAATAAATAATCCAACAAACATATTGCTTATGAATTTCTTCCAGAGTATTCGTTACATAGGTTGATTCTTGTGTCGTTTTTTTACTCAGTCGTTTTCTGAAATTGTGCAATACCTAAAAAGTTGGCCATTGTGGCTGAAAACTTGAAAACTAATGTCACAAAACAGCAAACACAAATTTTGTCAAACTTAAATAGTTTACAGAAAAGCACTTTTGTCCTTTGATTTCACCAACTGCGATGATTGTTTGGAAAATTAATTGCATGAGATGAACAAGCATGTATTGTCATAACTGTTTTGGATAAATCAAAGTGACAATGTCGACAGTATGTTGAGATTTTTTTTTCAACATGTTCGTGATGGAAATCAAAATAAAAGAATTCATATGACGTTTGGATATGATATCCAAAAAATAATGTAGTGAAGTACAATTTTTATTCAAATCTTGTTTGGATACATGATCATATTCAATGCAAGAAATCATTTGACGTTATTGACGAAATATTATGAATTATTTATTTTAGAATTGAATGCAATAAAGTGAATATGAACTTGCTATTCAAAGTTTCCTCTTTTTTATTAATGACCATAATTTTGATTCAAATCGTTCATAATTTTATCTTCTAGCAACAATTTTTTACTTGTTTACCAAGCCACAAACATCTATACTTACTATCTTTCTCAATATAAACATATTTTTCAACTCATTTGATCATTCCCCACTGATATACAGAAAAATGAAAAATTTCCAACGTTTTCTTCTAAAGAACTTCTTAAGAAAATGTTTCAATCACCCACAGGAACTTCTCACAAATACAAATATTAGAAAAAACGTTCAACTGAAACATGTACAATCCTATATTTTTTCTCATCAACAAGTCCTGACTTAATCTGTCATATACATACAGAACGTACCGCAGAGCAAAACTGATGGCAAAAAAACTGTTCGCTAGAATCCAAAAACACGTGAAGTTTGTTATATGCGGGACAAGTTCTGACTTGAAAACCATAACAATATTTCGATTATCTCACAGCTTTTTTTTCTGTTGAAACTACCCATGTGCTTGTGGAACTCTATTGACCCCCGCACCAGTCGGCTGTGGTATCCCCAATGAGTTCCGAGTTGTCGAACAGAATCATGTGGTCTCCTTCAGTGAGTGCGTATTCTGCCATAGCTGACTCGTCTGTTTGGCCTAGTCTACAGCTTCCTTCATTCTCTTTCAGTCTTGTTCCTATGGATCTTTTGGTGGTGCCGATGTATACCTTTCCATAAGTGCACGATATGCGATAAACTCCTACTGCTGATAGTGGGTGTCCTTTGTCTTTAGCCGACCTGAGACTTTGTTGTATCTTCTTGGTGGGTTTGAAAACGGTTCTAATGTTGTGTTTCCTAGAGTTTTCCAATTCTGTCTGGGACTCTAGGGATATATGGTAGATTCGCGCGTGCAACCTTCTGAGCCTTCTCCCCATTTTGAACCATAGAACTCTTCAGTTTCATGGATTTGTTGATCTTGGGTACACTGAATCCATTATATCTCGAGTTTACTTGAAGATCTTTCACTGCTTTCTCTGGTTCACATAATCTTTGAGCCCGTTCCGTTAGAGTGGAGATGACTCGTCTCTTTTGACTAGGATGGTGATTCGATAGTGCGTGCAGGTACCTATCCGTGTACGTGAGTTTTTTGTACACTTTGTGGGTTAGTCTAGCACCACATCTTTCGACTAGTACAT